CCCCACCGGATGGCAGCGCGCCAGTCGTGCTGGAGCCTCGTACATGCTCATCGAGGGTTTCTACGAGAACACGTTGCTCAAAGTCGTCGAGGGTATCTGCAGTCTGCCTGCAGATCCATGCCTCCCAGCTAGCTTCGGACAGGATTTCTGAATGGCAGGATGGGTTCTAGCTATCCAAAGGGGGGACACATCGTGACCCAGAGGACATCAGTCCAATCATCACTGGCAACTCTCTCACACACCCTCTAGTCGGGTCCACTTCAATCATTGCCGGGAATGGGCATCCCGTCGTCGACAAGATCGCTTCCACTGCCGGCCAAGGTCTGGTCTCGCGGGGATCCTCTGAGAAGTCTGTCGGCTATATCACTGCGCTCGAGGAAGCAGCTCTGCGCCAGGCACACGACGCGACCGATGCTGGATCTGAGACGCTGTTTCCTGAGCTTGGAGCACATTGCTTTCTCGGCACTGTGCACTCTACACCGCTATTTGGGTATGACGACGAGACAGGCTATATCTTGAGACGACATGGATCTCGGCACGCACAACATTCTGGTCGACGATGACCTGAACTTGGTCGCCACCGTCGACTGGGAGTTTTTCTCGGACTGCACCATGGCCGCCACCCATGTCACTTCCCACCGATGCGGTCGGATGAGGCTGTCAACGATATCCTGGAGGATCCCGAGCATGCGGCGCACGAGGATGCATCTCGGCAGGCTGCGTCGAGGCAGCTGCACCGCGAGAGAATCGCTCAAGGTATTACTGCAGGGGGGTCCGATCACGGCAGGCCAGCGTCCTGCAGAGGTGCGAGAGGCGAGAGGGACTGGCATCAAGGATATCCGTCCATGTCTGCAGGCTGGGCGATATGATATGCCACAGCAGGACGAACGCTCTGTCGATGTTTGGATTTGACGTGGGCGGGACAGCCAAGTATCTGGAGAACATGTGACGTGAGGGTGGTGGTCGTAGGTAGATGGCACGGACGGGAGAGACGTGTCGTGATGACGATGGCGACGACGATGTTGGTGGTGATGACGCACGGAAGAAAACGGATGGGCATGGTTCATTACGGAGCGTTGGCCAAGCGAGCGCGTCCGTTATCTGTCAGCAGGCACCGCCCAGTGGCACTGTGCTGGGCAGTTGCGGCCATGAGTTCAATACACTCCCGTATGGGGTTTATTTCATTACTCCCGTACAGTGGTGTGACTGCTGGTGTTACCGTGAGTGGCCCAGTGTAATACAGGGTGCGTGCGCTAGCCTATGCAAGCATATCGTCATTATGTAATCCGTACAGATGACAGCAGTAGAGCCCTAGCACTCCTAGCCTGGGCGGCACGCACCGTCGATATTACTCCGTATTCGCTGCGACGTTTATGTTAATCAGTAGAAGCAGGTAGCATTCCGTACTGCTATTACTCCATACTGCTACTAATACTACTATCACCCCTGCTGGAGTACAGTACTACTACCACTACCGCTACTACTACTACCACTACTACTACTGCTACTATTTATCATTATTCCTATTATTCCCATTATTCCTATTATTCCCATTATTACTACTAGTACTGCTACTACTTACTACTACTACTTACTACTACTACTTACTACTACTACTACTACTACTACTACTACTACTACTACTACTACTACTACTACTACTACTACTACTACTACTACTACTACGTACTACTACTACTACGTACTACTACGGAGTATGGATGATACTTGTATACCTAGCATGCACGGTTACTCCGCAATTACGTGCTCCGTCATTAGGTAGCGCAGTATCACGACGTACAGGTAACTTGAAGTGAGTACATTACTCGTGGTCTGTACGGATTATATGTACAGGTATTATCGATCGTTATTGGAGACGCACATCAGGGTTCCGGTTATTCAGGGTACCACCCTTCATGATAATATCCGGCAAAGTGGCATCGGTCTGGTGAGCCGTGACAGCTGATAAGGATTCTGCTGTACCGGAGTTGGTAGCGACAATCGATACTCGCGAATACTGCCTTGGTCCTGCTGCAGCCAGCATCATTCGAGCAAGGGTGATGACAGACATCTCTCCCTGTGCCCTATTCCCTGTTCCCTGTTCCCTGTTCCCTGCTCATTCTTCTGTCCAAGCTTATAGATTGAATTCGCCTCCTATCACCACTGCTCGTACGTCGTACCGGAAGATTCTGCCAATCTGCGGCCCCCATCTCTCGTCACCTGCTTCCGCTGTCGTGACCGTGACCCACCAATTTCCCACCTTCACGCCCAAGCACAGCAGCACCCAAGCACCATGTCAACGGTGAACCCATAGGCCTTCCGTCATTGTGTTCTGTTGCTATTTACCCGCTACCCTTCCAAGTACTTCCTCGGCTGGACTCTCCTCCTTACTCTCTCTTACTCTCTCTCTCTCTCTCTTCTTCTTTTTTTTCTTTCCTCCTGTCTCTTGCTCGTCCCTTGCTCGTCTGTCTGACCACGATACCGTCCGTCCCACTAATTCGCCTGCCGTCACTCGCCAAGGCCTCTCTGCAGTGGCACGCCTCTCCCTTCCGCTCCACACGCTCTCTACGTCTCTCAGTGTCTCGGGTGATACAGAACATTCTTCAGCCTGGGACGCCTCCCCAACGGCTGCCCCCACTTCTTCGACAGCTCCTTACGAATACTTCCCGAAAAGCATATATCAGTGCACGGCTTTCTTGACAATCGCCGCTTCGGGTCTCTCCATCATCATTTCAGGCCACACCACCATATGATATCTTATCTGCTACGTCAGTCCGGCCTCGGTAGCACTGACGACGCCCGGCTGGTCCCTGGTATATAGCTTCCCATCTCGGGAGGGAGCTTGACGAACTCCATTTGCCTGCCACGCGTCCATCCTTGGCCGAAGACTGCCACCAGAAACACCGTCATCGTCATAATGGACGACGGCGACGACGCCGTGCACGTCTCCGTGTCTCAGCCGCCATCGCCCATGGCCGGACGTCGTTCACGGCCCCAATTCGGACGGAACCTGTCTGCCGATCCTTCAGCCTCGTTCGGCCCCGATGAGCGCTCCCCGCTACTCGGCACATCGAGATCACGAATCCGCTTCCACAACCGCTCCAACTCTCCCCTTCTCACGCGAAATCAGAGTTACACAGGTACCTTCCACCCTTGCCCTCTTGTTCGACCGAGTCTGCTGCTCGGCCAGGCTGACAGTGGCTCCCAGGCAGCTTCCGTCACCATAGCCGCCATGGCTCATACGGCCACCGATTCATGCCCGCCCTCGGCGGCAGCAACGCAGGCAGCACCGTCGGCCGCGACCCCCTAGCAGAGTCCAAGCGCTCCATCTTCCCGGACGACCGCGTCTGGTATGATCAGTTCACTAGCACTGACTGGGTCCACGATGCCATCGCCGACTCGTACCGCGTGAAGGCCCTGCGCAGCCGCAAGGGGCTCATCGGCCGCGTGGGCGTCATGCTCGACGGCGTGCAGGGTTGGATCCTGTCTGCTCTGTCGGGCTTCATCATTGCCCTGGTCGCCTACGTCGTCAACGTCTCGGAGGCTACCGTGTTTGACTTCAAGTACGGGTACTGCCGTGGACGGTGGTACCTGCCGGAAAAGGTGTGTATCCATCGACCTCGACACAACGTCCCGAGACCTACGACAGTACAGTGCTGACCTGGCCCTTGCAGCAATGCCCCGAATGGAAGAGCTGGTCCAGCGTGTTCAACTACCGTCCATTCGGTGACGAGGGGACCGAATTCACCGTCTACCTCTTCTGCGTCGTCGGCCTCTCGCTTCTCTCGTGCTGGGTGACGCTGTGGACCAAGACCGTCGTCCCCTCAGCGTACCGTATGACGACATTCGACGAGGACCTGGGTGCGCAGGGTGCGCCGGCGCCGACCCTGGCCGAGGACATGGGCACCGACGACGACTCGACTGCCCGCCCCGCCGCAGAGGCCGCCCACCAGAACCCCCCGATGGTCTACTACTCGGCCGCGGGCAGCGGTGTCGCCGAGGTGCGCGTCATCCTCAGCGGCTTCGTGCTGCACGGCTTCCTGGGTCTCAAGACGCTCCTGGTCAAGATGCTCGCCCTGATCCTCAGCGTCTCGTCGGGTCTGAGCATCGGCAAGGAGGGGCCCTACGTGCACATCGCGACGTGCGTAGGCAACATCGCCTGCCGCCTCTTCTCCAAGTACGACCGCAACGACGGCAAGCGACGAGAGGTCCTCTCTGCCGCGGCCGCCGCGGGCGTCACCGTGGCCTTTGGTGCTCCGCTCGGCGGCGTGCTCTTCAGCCTGGAGGAGGTGTCGTATTTCTTCCCGGCCAAGACACTCTTCCGCACCTTCTTCTGCTGCATCATCGCCGCCCTGTCGCTCAAGTTCCTCAACCCGTACGGCACGCACAAGACTGTCATGTTCGAGGTGCGCTACCTCGTCGACTGGGAGTACTTTGAACTCGTCGGCTTCATCTTCGCGGGAATACTCGGCGGAGCTCTGGGTGCCCTGTTCATCAAGGCTTCCAAGATCTGGGCCGAGAGCTTCAGGCGCATCAGGCTCATCAAGAAGTACCCGATGCTCGAGGTGTTCCTGGTGGCGCTCGTCACGGGCCTGCTGAGCTACTGGAATGAGCTGGCCAAGCTGCCCGTCGCCAAGCTCCTCCTCAACCTCGCTTCGCCGTGCGATAATCCCAACCTTGACAAGGACGAGCTGGGTCTGTGTCCGAGCTCGGTTGATGACATACCGCCGATCATCGTCACTCTCATGATTGCATTCTTGATCAAGCTCGTCCTTACGACGATAGCATTTGGCATCGTAAGTCTGTCTCTGAGATGCCCCTTCCGCCCCCTCCCTCTGTCTCCAGCCTGGAAACCCCCCACCCCTCTGCGGCCGTTGTCCCTCTCGTCTGGTGATTTTCACGACGTCTTTTTGGAGGAACGAGAGGAAGAAGAGGCGGGAAGGAGAAGAAGAAGGTATACGACTAACGCAAACCCCGTTGACAGAAAGTTCCAGCTGGAATCTACATCCCCTCCATGGTCATTGGCGGTCTGATGGGCCGCATCATCGGCCACCTGATGCAGTGGCTCGTCTTGGCCACACCAGACTGGCCCATATGGGGCACGTGCGCCACCGACATGGACGGGACGTGCATCCAACCGGGCGTGTACGGGCTCATTGCCGCGGGCGCCACAATGTGCGGCGTCACCAGGCTCTCGGTCACGCTCGCCGTCATCCTGTTCGAGATCACGGGCAGCCTCGACTACGTCCTTCCCTTCTCCCTGACGGTCCTTGTGGCCAAGTGGACGGCCGACGCCATCGAGCCCAACAGCATCTACGACCTCCTGACCAACATGAACTCGTACCCCTTCCTCGACAAGAAGCAGAAGCCCATCTTCACGGGCGACCTGGCCGACATCGTGCCCCGCACCCGCCGCGACAGGGTCATCGACATTACGCAGTCACCCGTCGTGGAGGCGGCCGACCTGCGCAGGAAGCTGGAGCTGCTGCACCGCGCGGGCGAGATCGATGGCGGACTGCCCATCGTCCGAGATGACGTTCTCGTGGGCCTGATACCCGCTCCTGATCTGCAGTTTGCCCTCGATCAGATTCAGGACGAGGACATGGCCGTGTGTCTCATGGAACGGCCTGCGGGGAGCAGTGTTGATGAGGGCTCGGATGAGGAGAGGGATCCTACTGATTTCACTCCTTATATTGACCCGGTACGTTTCTTTTTTTTCTTTTCTTCCCTCCAATTTTTCCTCGTCCCTTTGTGGATGAGATCTGCAGATGGACGTGCTCTGACGGTGTAACTCAACAGGCCCCCGTCGCCCTGGACATCAAGTCCCCCCTGGACCTGGTATACGAGTGTTTTGCCAAGCTTGGACTGCGCTATGTCTGCGTTCTCAAGGATGGTAAATATGGCGGTATAATGCACAAGAAGTCGTTTGTCAAGTTTGTCAAGGAGCAGGAGGAGAAGGAGTGAGACGGCCACTATATGTCTTTCTTCGATTCACATCTTTCTCTTTTCCATCATCCGTTCTCTTCTGTGGCCAACCATGGCCTCTTTTCACTTTTTCTTTCTGTCACTCTATTCGTCTCTCTCGCCGCATTGTTCTTACCCAGAGTATCATGTCAGTGTCGATGCATATACCAGGCACGGATCTTAGCATATAATTTTTTTTCTCGTCTAGCGTTTTTTATATGAAGCCATTCCGATGGGATATTTGAAAGTCGACTGCTACTGTGTAATGAGACATAGAGATGATCATATCAGCAGTATCCTATCAGTATCAGTATTAGCGAATGCCATGATATGTGGGCGACTTAGCCAGAATATGGGCTGATACTGATAAGTGGTGGAGTTGTATGAGAGGGGCCAGACGAGTGGTTAGAGTCATGTCTAAACGATTAAACAAGTGATGGCCACGTACTTGGGGAGATTCAGCACTCATCTTCTTTTTTCCTTTCCCAAAGAAAAAAGGATAAAGCCTCCCCCTCCCCCCCAAAATCAATAAATAAGTAAGCCTTGTAAGAGAGAGAGATCCGCTGTATTATAGGAGTGTGTAGTCTGTGTGATGCTAGTAAATATACAAGTGATATTATGTAATCCGTACCTATTGACGAAACGACAGCTATCCCCGGGCCAATCAGATCCCCTCCATATGATCCCCACAGAATTGACCACCCAAGGACGGGAGGACGGGTGGGGAACTGATAAGCCGCAACTGATAGAATAGCCAAGGCGGGACTTGAAGCGAGGGCAGGTGCGGGGAGCTATTCCGGGTGTCGCACCTGCCTCCCTCCTTCTGTATTTCCTGTACGGAGCCGTATTATCCGTAATCGCTGCCCCGAACATCGGCCCATTCAGATTCTCCTCCTCTTTTTTCCTCCTCCTTCTTTTCTTCCCTGTCGGTGTGAACTTTCTTTCCCTTTTTTCCATTCTTTTTTCTTCGCCCTCTTTTTCTCATATCAATCTTACCCCCCCCCCCCCC